CCTTTTCAGGGATGAAAGAGGAGCTTGGATTCACGGCTATCATGGAAAACTGAAGACATCAACTAGCATGGAGGCTGAACTTTGGGCAGTTTACAGAGGCTTCACCATAATGCTTGAGAAGGGAATGAAGGACATATGCATTGAAACAGATTCAGAACAAGTTGTCAACCTCATCAATGATGCATCATCTCAACACTCTCTGCATAGGGCCCTACTTGAAGGTGCAAAATTCCTCATGAAACGATGCAATTGCATCATAGCTCATATTTTCAGAGAGGGTAACAACAATGTAGATGGCTTAGAAACATGGGTGTGAACCACCAGGATTCATTTGTGTTTCTTAATGATCCCCCTACTGAGATTGCCAATCTGCCTGTTGTAGATATCATTGGGTCTTCTTCTACTGTCTGAGGCAGTTGTGCCTTGTACTTTGTTTTTGTTTTCTGTTTCTTTCCTATGAAAAAAAAAATAAAAAATACAGCTATAAAGGCATCAAATCAGATAACAAATACAAAGGATAAAAATAAATAGTTAACCTAACTTTATTTCATTGAGAACTAACCAGGGCCCCCCAAAGGGGTCGCAAATAACGCATTTGTTTTAAGTTTTATAACAAAATGTGTCATTGAGTTGAAATTTTGTAAGTCAAATAAAAAATTAAAAAATAAATAAAGAATGTCAGTAATTTTTTCAAATTAAAATAAGATTATGAAATTTTTTATTAACTTCATACATGGACTGTACACCCATGTGAGACTACATTCATGTGTAATTGGTAAAAATATTAGTGATTTAGTAGAGAAAATAAAATTTAGTTAAAATAAAATGGGTAAATTACAAATTTATCTCTTGAGATTTGTTTAAAATACAGATTGTTTCATGTGGTTTGAAAAATTACAAATGCCCCCTTATTATAATTTTTTATTTAACAGAATTAATTAAAAAAATAAAATTCATAATTGCTCTCTTATACAATAATAAAATTACCTAAATTATTAATTAAAACATAATTTTAACATCATTAAAAACTGTTAATTAACTTTAATAATTTATTAATTAAATGAGCGATTTGTTATAAAATTAGAAACCTCAATGGGTGGAATGTAATTTTTAAAACTATAAATGACGATTCGTTTTTTAATTAAATCTCAGAAGGTGTATTTGTAATTTACCCAAATAAAATATTCTTAAGAATAATTTCATTCAATAGATATTAATTTTACTAAATTTAACTTGTAAGGAAAAATTTTAATTTTTTTATACACTCGACATTTTTAACTAAAAATGAAATTTATTGACACGATACATAAATATGGCATAATAATATAAAATAATAAATAGATTAAATTAGAATATCTCCAATGCTTTATCAAATTTTACATGAAATTTAAATTTGATACAAAAAAAATTGGTATAAAAGAGGTCAAAGCCTTTTATTAAATTTGTATTCTTTTATATCTAGTCAAAATCTATTTCAATATCTTTTTAGTCCTGCGAAAGAAGAAACGAAACAAAATAAAAACACCCTTAACTTTAATTTTTTGTTTAAGCCACACGTGTGGTTGAGCCGGCCTGAAACTAACAAGGTCAACTCAATTGGTCAAAGCACAAAAAACAAAAATTAGCATCCAAACCCATGAGCCCGGATCCTCGGCCGTTCTCTCCAGCGGCCCTTCCTGCGGCGCCCTAAAATGACGTCGTTTTGGGGTCAAATTTCAATTAAAAAAAAAAAAGACAGAGCAGGAGCAAAGGATAAGAAGAAGGGAGGATCGAGAAGGGGAAAGAGAAGGGGTAGAAGGAGAGGAGAGGAGAGGAGGAGGCTGAAGCTCTTCCTCACACTGAACTCTGCCGCCTTCCCCACTTCCTCCATCCTCTCTATCACTCTGCTCCCTGTCGCAAACCTCATCTTCTCCTCCTTCTTCATCTCCTCCAACAACGGTGACAAATCGAACCCCTCCGATAATGAAATTATACGAAACGCATTTAGTGTCTCCTTCTCTTTCTCTTCCTCCAATTCAATCCCTCTCTGATTCACTCATTCGCTTCATGTTTTTGGGAATTTTTTTGTTGAATTTGAACCAAGATATATCCATGAATCTGAAACTGAGATTCATGTGATGGGATTTGGGTCGAGAAGTTTGTTCGCGATCATCTGGGTTTTCGGCGAAAACCATGGTGGGTATTTGAAATGGGCTCTTAAATCTCTTTATACATTGAGATTATGTTATTAGATTGAAATGGAAAATACGCAGAAATCTTCAGGTTTGTTCCATTTTCTCTCTCTCTCTCTCTCTCTCTCTCTCTCTTCTTTGAAATTTCTGTTCACTGTGTTTGGATGTGAAGAAAACCAAGACAAATGAAATGGAAAATTTTATTTTGGTTTCTGAATTCTGTTCACTCTTCCTCCTCCCTTTCTCTACCTTTCTTATTTTCCCTTCTTTCTTCTTCTCCTTTGTTCCTGCTGTCTTTTTTTTTTCGAAATTGAAATTTGGCCCCAAAACGACGTCGTTTTGGGGCGCCGTAGGAAGGGCCGCTGGGGAGGGCGGCTGAGGATCCGGACTCCCAACCCCATAGCTAGCTATTAGATATATATCTATATCTGTTTCCAATCCAACAGTCCACAGATTGAAGATCTCAACCGGAAGTTGACTTTGTTTTTATTTATTTATTTATTTTTAACTTTGTTTTTATTTATTTTTATTTTTTTTGGGGGGGTGGTTTGGCTGGTTAGGTTAACGCATCTATTTGGTTTTCTTTTTTTTTCAAAAGGGAGTTTTTTTAAAATAAATTCTCTTTTTAAGAATTTTATTTCATTTAATTTATATTCTTTTTTACTATTCTATTAGATCCTATTTGGGGTAAGAAAATCAAAACACTCTCAATCTCTCATGTCCCTATTAGTCTTGATATTTTATGTTGATTGTCATTATATTTTGCTAGTTCCTGCCGATCATATATTTTGCTAGTTCTCATACATCAGAATGTTGACTGTCATTATATTCATATTAATTTGAAATGAATTTTTGTCATTGTGTTGTCAATTACATGATGTGAATATTTACATCATGTAATTGAAATGAATATTCACATCATTATATTCACATTAATTTGAAATAAATTTTGGTCATTGTGTTGTTAATTATACGATGTGAATATTCATACTAAAACATACGAATATGAATGTTCATATCACTACATTAGATGAGAGAGAATGTTCACTTATTGTGAACGTTCATCACTATATGTCGTGGATAAGAGTATGTTGTCAATTAAAAATATAATGAACGTTATTTTTAACATGTTGTCAATTAAAAATAAGAAGGTTTACATGTTATGAACGTTCACATACTACATTAGATGAGAGAAAATTTTTCGAAAAAGTGTTGTGAACGTTCACATCAGATGAGAGAGAATGTTTACATTATTTTTAATGTGTTATCAATTAAAAATATATTCAGATTATATAATAATATAAAATAATAACATTAATGTTATTTGATTTGTATATGAAATTTCCTATCCGTTGGTCATTTCCTTACTTTCTCCTCCCCCAACATTAAATATTAATATTAAATATAAGGGCATAAGAATCTAAGAAAATAGTGTAAATTAAAAAAAAAAGATTTTATGAAATAAAAGTACAAATACATAGAATTAAGTGGGTTAAAAAATTATTTAATGGACTAACTTTTAAATAAAATTTATCAATAAAAATCCCTATTAAAAATGAAGAGCACAATCTATTTTATCTTACCTTTTAAAATGGTCAATTATCTTCATGTCATTTTAATCATTTTACATTGTACCTCCTCACAATTAATAATTCGCCCAAATTATACATATTTACCCTTATCCTAAGCCCTAACCATATTTCTCCTAACGTCTCTCATTGCGAAATTTATAAAGAGAGAAAATGACGGACTTATATAAGGGGAAGGAAAAATTATTAGGTGTTTTAAGGGTATCACGTGTTTTTGTCACCAGCAAATCACCAATTTTCATACTGCCTATTGTTCTCTCATACCTTAAAACAAAATTACAAGTCATACCTCTTCATCAATCAAAACCTCTTAAGGTACCCCTAATCATGTCCTAAGATCATTGAATAATTTATTAGACAAATTATACTGGTAGTCCCTATATTTTGCTACTTTGTATAATTTTGATTCGTATACTTTCAATTGACTCAATTTTGACCCTTAATTTTAGACTTTATGTCAATTTAGTCTAATTGACAACACAATTAGGACATTTTACGAAAAATAATCACTGAGTTTGTTGATATCTCATGGAATTGATCAAACTTACAATTTCGGCCTTAAAAGCATGACATATGCCGCTCATGTGCTCATTTTTCATAAAATAATGCTAACAATTGTAATGAATTGGATCAAATTGAGACAAAGTGAAAACTTCAGGGTTAAAGTTGAGCTATTTGAAATTAAAGGGACCAAAATGACACAAAGATTAAAGCATAAGGACTACCAGTATAATTTGTCCAAATTTCTTTATTTGTTGTAGATATGGATATTTTAAAATAAATAATTCGAAATAATTTCTTTAAATAAAGAGGCTATTGCGGAAATTAAAATAGTCATGATAATAAATAAATAAATAAACTATTCAAATTGGTAAACTCCAGAAGAGAAACTTAATGCAATTTCACAGGAACTCATATGAATAATGACGCAAAATTGCTGGGAAAGTTTCATTGTGAAGACTATTCACCCTTTGAGAAAATTATTCTTAGAATTAAATTTTCAAATGGGAAAAATGCTAAAATATGATTATATTCTATTCTCACCACGTGGCAAATACAATAATGCCTAGTATTCACCACTATATATTCTCATCTTGCTATATATTCTTCATGCACTTCTCTCTATTGAAATCACATTCAATCAAGTTTTTGTGCTCAAATATTCCGTCTTTTCTATACTACTAATTTAGAACTAGTACTATAAACCTTTACAGTGACGTGATAAGTCATACTTACAATCATGTATAAAGTAGCAAGTGCATCCGAATACCTAGTGATCACCGGGGTTGGCATCCCCGACATAAAAATCGCGAAAAAGGCATGGGTTCTTCCTGGCCAATGCTGTGCAATCTTCGACGTGTCGCCTGTAAATTACACCTTCAACGTCCAAGCCATGAGTGCTGAGAAACTTGCTTTCGTTCTGCCGGCAGTCTTCACTGTTGGCCCTCGTATTGCCGACAATGCCAGCCTCCTTAAATAGAGTTCAGATCCCCTCCTTGAGCCCCCTCCTTCATTCCCTCCTTGCACGGGCCTTCGGGTCCACTTTGAGACCCAGTTTTGATAATTCGAACTGTTCATATTTTTAGATTTATTCAGTATATTATACCTGTAAAAAATCAAGTTGATCGGATATCAGAAAGTATGCGTTCAGAAAATTGGGACTACAAACTATTTTTTAATAAACAGTTTTCCGAACACATACTTTATGATATTCGATCAACTTGATTTTTTACAGGTATGATATACTGAATAAATCTAAAAATATGAACGGTTTGGATTATCAAAATTGGGCCTCAAAGTGGGCCCGAAGGCTCTGCAAGAAGGGAATGAAAGACCGAAATGAAGGGGAGGATCCCAATTCCCTTAAATATGCCAAACTCGTCTCTCCCCATGACAAGCTCTCTAGCCTTGTCAAAGACCTCGTCCAAGGCATCATCGAAGGTAATTAATAATGTTGCAAATTACGCTACAAAATTTTAAATAAAGAATTATGTGAGATTCTGAGCTGTATTTTAAAGCAATATTTGTCTTCTAGTTTTTTTTTTTTTTTTTTATCAGCAAAGAAAAATTTCATTAACAGCATGAAATTAAGAGTACAAGTAGATGAAGTGCACCGAGAGAGATTCAGAAAGTACAAAGTACCCCTACTACTGCTACTCACACCCAAACAACCAACCCCTCAGCCTCACAAATTTTTTAAAAGATAAAATAAAAAACAAAAGTTAAGAAGAACTTAACTCAACAAAATCCATGAAATCCCACAAACTTCCCCCACAAAATCCAATTAATGCACACCACATATGTAAAACGCCTCAACTGAGCAGAACACCCACTAACAGAACACCCAACCGGAAGAACACCCACTACTAGAACATCCAATTAACCCAATTAATACTCTCCAAACAGAACACCCCCTAACAAGCTTCGAACACCCATAGCAACCTAATACACCCCAGGACAAACAACCAACCAAAACACCCATTGTACAAATCTTCTACTCCGGACCAAACTCCACACACCCACTGCAGAAGCTCCATGTTACCAACCCGAACACCGAGAAATGTTCCTCCAGGTGCAGCCCAGCACACTGCTCTTACAGCTAAGTGGTTCCATCCTTTCAATACCTTTCTTTGTCCTTAAGCTCCAGCTCAAGAATCTTCTCAACCACACCCTCTTCTTGCCCACAAAAATTAATTCCCAACTCTTTTCCTAATTTGACAGTGGCCTGCGCTTCCTTGAGAATATAGCTATGCGTGCTTGATTCCCCCTCCAACAGCTCAGAGTTTGCAAGGGCCACTGCTGCTGGCCTCAAAATAACCGATTTGGAGGGAAGCCTACCGAAAGCTGCAGATTGGTGACCATAAGGTCGAGCAAACCGAGAAAAGCCTTCCATCTGAACCTTCTTTTTCCCAGCTTTCTTGGTCGACCCATTTGGGTTGAGGAAGGAAGCAGGACAATGAACAGGGCCTTGATCATGTAACCTCAAAGTGCCTTACCCATTAGAACCAGCAGTTAAGAGAGGCCCAGGTAACAAAGGACCTCGAACTCTTTGCTCATTATTCGGAGAGCCCAAAACAACCTCCAGATTAATTCCAGGCCCAAAACCATCTACCGACCCGCTGAGACTTTTGAACAAACCAGTTTCAGAATCGTGCTCAACACACCTCAATGAATGGTCATCTCTCTTTGGGTAGGGTGCAGAATCCTCCATCATTGCTTCTTTCCCACCTATCACAATAGGTCTGCTGACCTCCACATCACATCGAGTCTCCTCAACAACTGTGTCCACCGCCTCTGAACAGTTGCATTGAGACAGCTCCTTCCTTTGTGCCTCTTCAATAGAGGAAAGTAACACAGCATCAACCAAGGCAAACTTATTTGCCACTAAACCAACATCGTCCTTCCTCTTGCAGACCCATCTGTGGAGTCTTTTTCCTCAGCTCTGCTTAATTCCACTTTGGAGCTGCTATTGCAATCACCCAGCCCACTTTTTCTCATCCCAGTACTCTCCACTGGATTGGCATAATGTTCTTCACAAACAAAAATTGGGTGTAATTTACCCTTGCATTCCAGATGAATGGTTTTATTAATGAGCTCCATGCATGTTGTAACCACTTTAATTCTGGAGTATGAAAAAGACTTTGGTTGGCTAAGATCACCCTCCAAATGAAGAACTGACCCCCACAAAGCTCCAATGTTATTAAGGTTGCTCCTATTCCAGAGGTTAAGAGGAATACCAAGACATTTCAACTAAACACATCTCTCTTGGACTATTTGGATTCCTGGCCTCCATTCCAAAATAAACTTACTCCAGTCTTTAAACCAGTCCTTGATCTTCTGAATATTTGATTGAAGCTCGTCCTGGGATTTGAAAGTCAAGATAGCATCCCTGCCGCCCCCTTGTCTTACCACCACTTGATCTAACCCAATATCCTTCAAAGCAGATCTGATACTGTTAATGGAGAAATCCGAATTGAGCCTGATAATTATGCTTTCGTAAAGCCACCCGTGACCATCTTCATTGGCTTTGACGGTCATGCTAGCTTTAACATCCACCATGTTCGAGTCCCCTTGTAGTACCTCTGCATATGATTTGTGGCCAAAAAACTTGGTTGTAACTTTACCTCTGTTTGGGTTAAAGTCTTCTCTGATGACCTGGGGCCTTCTCATGCTAAGCACACTCCTGTCATGAGTTGCATACTTGACTGCAAGTATCTCATCATCCACCAAAAGTCCATTAGTTTTCTGGACTGCCATGTCTGATGCAACATGACAGTCGAATCTCACAAAACCGAATCTTGAATTCGTCGCTTTTCTTCTTTTGAAAGGGATGAAGACATCTTTGACTACACCAAACTTATTGAAGAGTTCGAACAAAGACTTTGCATCGAAAGAACTTGGGATATTGTCCACGAACACAGTAAACAGACCACTCCTTTCGTCATAGCCCCGAGATCCACCTCCTCGCCTTTGATTCACAACCGAGATCCAACCACCATTTCTTCCTTGCTCCATTGAATCATTGAGTTCACTGAGTTATCTTCTTTTGAATTAATTTTGCAAGTATTTCAGGTAACCCTTTGGAAGGTTATATGTATTCCCAACATTTTACCAGCCTTACACAGATTTGTTTATCATCACATAACAATTTTAGTGGTCAATTATCCCATGCTGGCGGGTAAACTTGACACAACATGCTTATTTGGACATTTCAAAAAATATTTGTCTTCTACTCACATTTTTTTTAAAATTTTTTTATTATTATCTTATGTTCATTGATTACTTGATTCATCATTTTTATCGTTGACAATTAGAGAATTAATGTCACACACATGCACACATATATATATTTATCATCATTTTGTATCACTGCGCTATGTTTATATTTATGTATTTTTAATATCTAAATCCCCAACGAGTAATCTTCTATGAACAGAAAAATTGTAGAAAACTATTATATATATTGAATGTTCTATTTTATTATAAGAGTTTGTCTTAAAAATATAAGCTCGTCATTATGAACATAAATTCTCACTGAAGTTATGCTATAAAAAAAATGTACAGAATTATATGGCAACATGGTAAGCCTACCTCATTAAAAAAAGAACCCATCAAATTGACTGTTAATTGTATTAACGTTACTGTCATATTATTCTGGTGGTATATTCTGATTTGTATTGTACATATTTTCTGTAAAAATATCTTTTTCCTTCTCACTATCATATCATTCTAAAAGTAAAATTATGTATGAATTTTGGGTAAGAATAGTTTTTTCATTCCCAACAGGTGAAACACGTGTGCTAGCTGCCTCAATGACCATGGAGGAGATCTTCAGAGGAACCAAAGAGTTCAAACAAGAAGTTTTTGAGAAAGTTCAACTTGAACTTAACCAATTTGGGCTTTTAATCTACAATGCCAATGTTAAACAACTTGTTGATGTTCCTGGACACGAGTACTTTTCATACTTGGGTCAAAAAACACAAATGGAGGCTGCTAACCAAGAAAAAATCGATGTTGCCGAGGCAAAAATGAAAGGAGATATAGGGGCTAAGCTTCGAGAAGGACAAACGCTTCAAAACGTGGCGAAAATTGATTTGGATACGAAGATTATATCGACACAAAGGCAAGGAAAGGGAAAGAAACAGGAAATTAGGGTTAAGACCGAAGTGAAAGTTTTTGAGAATCTAAGGGAGGCTGAGGTGGCAGAGGCTAATGCTGAGCTGGCAAAGAGAAAGGCCGGGTGGGCCAGAGAAGCGCAAGTGGCAGAGGTGGAGGCGATGAAGGCAGTGGCACTTTGGGATGCAGAGTTGCAGTGGGAGGTGGAGATTATGAATGGGTTGACTCGGACGGAGAAGATTAAGGCTGAGTTCTTGAGTAAAGCTACTGTTGAGCATGAAATCAAGGTGTGTAATTTACAGTGTGCATTTATATTCAGGTTTAAAAGTTAAACTCATTTTTTAGATTAAGTGATGTGTTAAGAAAATGATTAATTGATAATTAAAAATATTTAATTATTAATCAATCATCTTTTTGTATATCATTTTTCATTTAGAATTTATGTTATGTAGGTTTGGAAAATTTAGTAGTTAAATTTGGCCACGGTAATATTATGAAAATATAATTTTATTCCAAAAAAAAGAAGAAAAAATAGTATACCGTTAAAAATTTTCAGAAAGTTACCTCCGACAGTGAAATTTTGAACAAAAATCAATAAAAGTTTATCAACCGAAGTCGGTAGACATAGGGTTCGTTTGGGAAGGGCTCTTCCGGGCTTTTTGAGCCGTAAAAGACAGAATAGGCTCTTTGAGCCACAACAGACAAAACATCACATCCAACCCATAATCATTACACTATTCTTTCACAAAAAAAGTCAAAAAAACCAAAAAGCCCTTCTCAAACCAAGCTTTTGAGCCCAGGCTCAAATAGCCAAAAAAGTCAAAAAGTTAAAAAACCAACCGACTTCCCAAACGGAGGCATAAACATTTTAAATATTTTTTGTAAATAAAAAAAAACCTTTAGGACACTTTAATAATAACATTTTGTTGAAGTAATTTGATAATTAAATTAAAAAAATTCTTACTTTAAAAAATAAATAAGTAAATAAAAGGGAAAATTACAAACACCCCCTCAAGGTTTGGTAAAAATATAAATTTCTTCCGCGGTTTGAGAAATTACACCCTGCCCCTGAGGTTTATATTTCCATAATAAATTGCCCTCTGAGATTTTTATTTTCATACAGATTCCCCCATAATTTCCCCTAATTTGTTATGAAAATTTGACCCTCAAAGAGTAATTTGTAATTTCTTAAACCTTAGAGAAGAATTTGTATTTTTACCAAATCTCGAGAAGGTGTTTGTAATTTGTCCTAAATAAAATATGTATAAATAGTAAGTCAAAATCAATTGGCGTGATTATGACATCCTGAGCTTGTCACGCTATTAAAAAAAATTGAGTTTTAAATTACAATGTTCACAGTAATAGCTTCGTTTGACCACGCAAACACACAATTTGATCTGATCTTGACTTTGAGTAATAATTTGACCATCAAGTTATAGCATCTTTAACAAAGGAGTTATTTAGAATATTTAAAACATTTTATCATTCTTTATTTTAATTAGTTATATTTGAAGGGGAAAAAAATTAAGTTTTCTTGGAGCAAGGTGCTACTTCACTTATTAATCAGTATATTTTATATTATTTTCTAAAATATTAATATAAAGGTAATGTGTGATATTGTTTAGACTAATAAATATTAATTTGTATTACTTGAGACTTGTTTTAGAGCACTTTGGGAAAGAAAAAGCCTCAGGTTTTTTGGTTAAAATAGTCAAAAAAAATAAATAAAATAAATTTTTTAATCTAATAAGACAAAATATCACATGTAACCGATAACCATTATATTTTTTCTCTCATAAAAGTCAAAAAAATAAAAAAGCTCATTTCAAACGAGATTTTTCCAGACTAAAATAATTAAAAAGTTAAAAAATTAAAAAAACTAACCCATATCCCAAATCAACACTTAGAAGATCAACGAGTTGGTTTGGGATTGAATTTTTTAATCACTTTTTCCAAGAGCTAAATGTTTTTTTAATCACTTTTTCCAGAGCTAAATGTTTAATTTATTTTTTGAAAACTTTTATTAATTTTTTGTTTTGTTTTGTTTTGTTTTATTTTTATTTTTATTTTTAGTAAAAAAATTCATATTTTAAGCTTTTATTTATTTTATTTTTTTTTCATTACACCTCATCTAAAAAGTTTAAAAAAAATAATTAATTAAATATGACAAAAAGTTTACTAGAGACAAAAGAACACAAAAACCAAACAACTTTTGAGTTTCAAAGTCAAATAGATGGAATGTGTTAAAAAATTACTAAAAGAGATTTTCACGTTTTTTTTTTTTTTTTACACGCTTAAGAATACCAAGCACACACAAAATGTCAAATCATAGGTTGGAGTGTCTTACAGATAGATTTTGGTTATACATCGGGAGAAGGATATTTGAAAATGTCTAATTTATCTTAGAGATATATTTTGATTCAATGATTTAAATTGTCTCATCTCAACTTCAATGGTTGAGATGTCTTTATTTCCCGCCCAAATGCTCTTTGAGCATCAACGATTGAAATGAATTACCCTCAAGATCTAATGGTCAGAAAATCTCTCTCTCTCTCTGATTTCAATTTTGAACTCTCTCTCTCTCCTCTCCGTCATAGGTACTCATCTCCTCCCTTTTTTATTTCAATTTTGAACTCTCTCTCTCTCTCTCTCTCTCTCTCTCTCTCTCTCTACCTGCATCGGAGCCTATCCCATGCGACGACCACCGACCACCTCTCCTCTGTGTTTAAAACTCCAATGCATCCAAACCCTAAAATTCTTTCCCGTGATAAGATAGGTATTTGGAAAATATGATGGGCATTTGCTTCTTATTCAGATTTATCAGATTTCTGCTTTGAGATTTAGAATCCTTCAGATGGACAGGGATTACAGCAGTTGGATTGTGAAGTACCGGGTCAATTTTAGTCCCATTTTATCTTTATTCCCTGACGTAGTAAACACAACCATTACTAGATTCTGTAAATTTTACGTGCTCTGTTATTACTAGGGAGCAAATGAAAAAGACTTTACTCCGGTTTTAGTTGTTCCTGGCAAAGTTATTTCTTATGATCTCAACTCCAAGACATTGAAGGAGCTTCGAGATTGTTCGCCAAAGGATCTTGAAAATTGGGAAGCATCTTAGTAATATGTATCCATTCATTGAAAGCCTATCACCTGTTTAATCAATGTCCTACATGTTTCAGCAGATAAGTCCCTCAATAAACTCTTCTAAATTTCTTTAATATTTTGATAATAATCATATGTGTTGGACTTTTCAAAGAATTAAATGTCTTTTTTTATTATTATATTATATTAAAGTTTAATATTTTGATAATAATCATATGTGTTGGACTTTTCAAGAATTTTTTTTTATACTTGTTCTTAATGCATTAAAGTATTATTATGATGGATAATAATTATATGTGTTGGGACTTTTCAAGGAATTCATATGTGTTGGATTTCAAAAAAAAAAATTTATGCTTGTTCTTAATGCAATAAAGTGTTATTATGAGGGTAAAACTTGGGAGTTGGGAGAAGTTAATAAATGCTTAGATTTTTTTTTTTAAATCAAAAAATTAAGAAATTTAGATTGGGAGATTTGAGCTTCCACAAGCCTTGGAGTTAAAAACCCCATTTTGCTTAATATATAGTATAGATAGATGTGTTGGGACTTTTCAAGAAATTCATGTGTCGGATTTCAAAGAATTTTTTTTATGCTTGTTCTCAATGCAATAAAGTGTTATTATGAGGGTAAAACTTGGGAGTTGGGAGAAGTTATTAAATGCTAAGATTTTTTTTTTAAATCAAAAAATCAAGAAATTTAGATTGGGAGATTGGAGCTCCCACAAGGCTTGAGGTTAAAAACTCCATTTTGCTTAATATATAGTATAGATAATAAGGGAGAAGGGTATTTGAAAATGTCTAATTTATCTTAGAGATATATTTTGATCCAGTGGTTTAAATTGTCTCATCTCAGCTTCAATGGTTGAGATGTCTTTATTTCCAGCCCAAATGCTCTTTGAGCATCAACGGTTGAGATGAATTACCATCAAGATCTAATGGTCAGAAAATCTCTCTCTCTGATTTCAATTTTGAACTCTCTCTCTCTCTCTCTTCTCTCCGTCATAGGTACTCATCTCCTCCCTTTTTGATTTCAATTTTGAACTCTCTCTCTCTCTCTCTCTCTACCTGCATCGGAGCCCATCCCATGTGACGACCACCGACCATCGCGACGCTGACGACCACCGACTACCTCTCCTCTGTGTGTAAAACTCCAATGCATCCAAACCCTAAAATTCTTTCCCGTGATAAGATAGGTATTTGGAAAATATGATGGGCATTTGCTTCTTATTCAGATTTATCAGATTTCTGCTTTGAGATTTAGAATCCTTCAGATGGACAGGGATTACAGCAGTTGGATTGTGAAGTACCGGGTCAATTTTAGTCCCATTTTATCTTTATTCCCTGACGTAGTAAACACAACCATTACTAGATTCTGTAAATTTTACGTGCTCTGTTATTACTAGGGAGCAAATGAAAAAGATTTTACTCTGGTTTTAGTTGTTCCTGGCAAAGTTATTTCTTATGATCTCAACTCCAAGACATTGAAGGAGCTTCGAGATTGTTTGCCAGAGGATCTTGAAAATTGGGAAGCATCTTGGTAATATGTATCCATTCATTGAAAGCCTATCACATGTTTGATCAATGTCCTACATGTTTCAGCAGATAAGTCCCTCAAAAAACTCTTCTAAATTTCTATCTTCTTAAAAGTTTTAGTTAGTTTCTTGGTATGTGATGCTACTACTATTTTCTTTTAATTTATAGATTCTGTTTTAAGCTTGCATTAGAAATAAATTCTTCATTGATCAATTAAGGCCGAAATACAATTGATGTGTATAGTTCATTCCACAGTTTACTTCCCTTGCCTGCAGTTCTAGAGGCTAGAGAGTATCAGCTTGATTATCACTTTTGAAAGTGCTTTATGTTAGAGCCCTGTTTTGACCTCTATTATACATTAACTCAAGTATCACTTAGATTGTTTTGATTGCTAAAGAGATTATGTTGGACTCATTCACTCCATGGTCAGTAGCGGAACTATAGAGGGATTGGTGGGAGCCACGACGCTGCCCATTTTCTATCTAAATCTCTCATATACAGGTTAGGAATTTTATGATACATATCCCTTCAAAAGTATGTACCATATCCCTCAATTATGAAAATTTGTGGTTTTAGTTATAAATCATGTTGGTACTTAGTTATGAGCTTTGTGCCGATCAAATTTATAATAAAGTTGGTTATGAGATTTTTATTAGGACTTAAATTAGTTTTCGTTATGATACCTTTTTTTAATATTTGGTTATGAATCCAAGTTGCCTTATGTGAGGGTTTGTGGTGTTTTGCTATGAATTGAAAGTGATCTTGGTTATGGATTTTTTATTATGATTCAAATTGGTTGTAGTCATGAATCTTTGTGGTTAAAATTTTAGGTACAAACCATACGCACCTTTGAAAGGTGTCTATAGTGTCACTTTCTTACAGTTTAATATATATTTCCGATAGAAGCTAATACAATAGGCATCATTCCCATAATTTCTTAAATCTTTCTAGCAGGAAAGACTGTGTACACACCTCTCAAAAGGTTTCTACCATATGCACCTTATAATTAAAGAAGAAAATTGTATAACTTTATATTTAAAAAAAAAAATCATGAGCGAACATACATCACAACTAAAGAAGAAAATTTTTTATAACTAAAGAAGAAAATGGCATAACTAAGGTGTGTATGGTAGAATTCTCCAATGCAATTATTATCAGTATTATTGTCTTTGTTTATTCTTGGCTTTCCTACTTCGGTCTTCTATGGACTCAAAGTTTCTCAAGGACTCAAAATTTTGTATTTCTATGTTTATTCTTTTGTGGGTATTTTTAGTTTCTTTAGTTTCTGCTAGCAATGGAAGTTTATTCAGTGATTCAGATCATTTGGCTTTTTTTAATGATAAATTGTTTGTGCTTTTACGACAAATTGTTTGTGCACTTTGATTAGCTTTCTCTGATTACTAATCCAAATCAAAATTCAATTTATATCTTTATAATAGGGAAATTATGGTGCAGATTTCTTCTATTGTTTTTGGTATTCATTAGCTTTCGCTCTCATGTAAAATTTTAAATTTTGTGTTGATTTCTTCTATTGTTTTTGGTATTCATTTTTTGTTACTCTAATTTTTTTGGATGTCTTCTGTTTTGCTGTCATGTAAAAGTAAACTTTGTATTGATTTCTTTAATTGCTGCCATGTACATCCCAACTATCTTGGATTCTATTATTTGGACTCTTTGGCTTGCTAGAAATGAATGAATCTTCAACCACAAACAACCAGTTTGGTGCGAAATCGTGGAATTTATCAAAATTAGAATTGTATTTTGGGTGAATGGGTGGGCCAATCTGTAACGCCCTCAAAATATACCCATAAATCATTCAACAATAGCATGCTTAAACATAAGAGAATAAGGCATAAATATAT